GGGTTTAGGGTTGAGTGCTTAGGGTTGAGAAGCCGGTGACCCAAGCCGTGCGATGCTGCCACTGCCCCGTTGCGCAATGATCTCCCTGGACACTCTTAACTTTGAACCTGCTCGTCGAGAACCACGCACAGACATGCTACTCTAGTTAAGCTTCATTCAGCACAGCTTAATTCCTGACCCTTATATAAAAGCCCAACACATCGATGTCTAGGTTCAAAAGCCATCGTATCCCAGCTACTGCCAGCGACCATACCCTTTCCTTGGAATTGGCTACTTTAGAAGGTAACCCTGAACAAAAGAATGGCAAAAGGGGTACGTACCACTGGGCTACCACGAAGCCCTAAACCCCAAACCCTAAACCCCAAACATCGAATTCGAGGTACAAGAAGCAGGTCACAAGACTGACGCGCCATGCCGCGTCGGGTTTAGGGTTTAGGGTTTAGGGCTTGGTGGTTCTTTGTTGCCGTGTTGTTGAAAGCACTTAGCTGTGAAGACTGCTTCCCGAAGGGTTTAGGGTGTAGAGTTTCATGCTTAGTGCCCTACTTGCCATATCCGCATGCAGACTCCGTATATTAGGGGCACCCCTCGTATATCCCAAATACAATCCTTACTATAGCCCTATTTTCGGAAACCCCCCACATGCGGTTTAGGGTTTGTACAAGTATGACTATATTAACTTCAGATAAGGGAGTTATAACCTAAATAGTAAGACTTATAGCCCAATTAGGGCCCTTATAACCCCAATCATAACTAATTAGGGGGGGGGGGGGGGGGCCCTACATGTAGGGTCAAGAGATGGAAAGAAGCTCCTCTGCACAACGCCGCAGCAGGACGCGCAACGAACCATCCTCCTCGGCCATGCGATCCACCTGCTTGCCATGTCTGGATATGTTTGGGGTTTAGGGTTGAGGGCTTATAAGGTTTAAGGTTTGGGGTTTAGGGTTTAGGGCAACCTTAGGGTTTAGGAGGGCTCAGGGTTTAGGGTTTGGGTTTCAGTGTCAAGAGTTGGGGTCTGCAAATGCTCACTGATCTTGGCAAGTAGTGCAAGCTGGGGTCGCAAGCCCCTGCTATGTGCTTAGACCTCCCGTCTAAGTGCCTGCTTCGTTTCGAACTTAAAACGTTGACGCAGGGGGCAGAAGCAAAAACCTGGGCGCAGATTACATGAAGCGCTGTTGTTGTGACCCCTGCCACCAGCCTTGACCTCAGATTCTCAACAAGCTTCCAGACAAGAAAGCCACGAGCCTTAGTTCTTAGAGTCCTCGAAACCAGACGCCCAAAGCCCCTTTGGCCCTAAACCCGAAACCCTAAACCCTAAACCCTGAAACCTTAACCCCTAAACCCTAAACCCTAAAACCTAAGCCCCAAAACCCACGCCATCTCGAGCTGCCTGTGGGGTCGTCAAACTGACCACCTGGTCGAGTGACAAGTAGGGGCCCCCTAGTTCAACAAGTAGATAGGGTTTAGGGTTTGGAGTTTGGGGTTTAGGGTTTAGGGTTGAGGGCTTTGGGTTTATAAATAAGTACTTTAGGGTTCTCATGGCACTAAATTGGGTTATAGTTACCTTCTTCTAAAGTTCGTATTTTCAGGGAGCCCCCTTGGACCCAAGGAAACACGACGTGAAAAGAGCTTGCGGGTTCGAGAGCCATGTTTCGCGGGGCCCCAACCCTGAATCCTCAGACGTAAACCCTACAAACCCCATAAGCCCTAAAAACCTTGTAAGCTCAACAAAGTCTGCAAACCCCATAACTAAAAACACAGAAATTAAACGCGAACCTCAACAGCGCCATAACCAAACATTTTGCACCCTAAATCTTTGTTCACAAAAACCTGTTTTGGAGGGGTATCCAATGTTCACAAAAGCGGGCACCCGGCCTCTTGCCCAGAGAGGCAGCAGATTGTGAGCTCGTGCGCGCGAGCCCCGCGCATGACGCCGCAAGGACAGTCGAGGAGGCTCGATAGGTCCCCGGAGCCGACACTTCGGGCTGAGGTTCAGGGTTTAGGGTTTAGGGTTTAGGGTTTAGGGTTCAGGGTTTAGGGTTTAGAAGGGTATAGGGTTTAAGGGTTCAAGGGTTTAAGAGCTGAGAATTGAATAATTGAGGAGTTGACGATTTAAAGGGCATGAGGACTTAAGGGTTTAAGGGTTTCAGAGCTTGAGGGCTTTGAGATTTCGACTCCCAGCCCAGGAGCTTCCACCCCTACAGCAGCTTTACCTTCCTTGCGTTTAGGGTTTAGGGTTTAGGGTTTAGGGTTGAGGGTTGAGGGTTGAGGGTTGAGGGTTTAGAGTTTAGGGTTGAGGGTCAGAGTCCCACCTTTGGACCTTCGGGGATCAGGGCTTAAGAGTTTTCGGGCTTCAGGGTTTCCCTAAACCTGAACCTGACCCCTGCCTCTCCAAGCCCCCAACCCAAAGCCAATAGAAACCCCAACAAGCCCCATATTCTGTCTAACCACCCACCCTGAGCCCGAAGCCCTAAGCCCTAAGCCCTGAGCCCTAAGCCCTAAGCCCTAAGCCCTAAGCCCTAAACCCTAAGCCCTAACCCTAAGCCCTAAACCTTAAACCCTAAACAACAAAAATGACCAAACACAAAAAAAAAAAAAAAAAAAAAACGAAAAGCCTCGCCACCGTGCGGCGTGCTCAGCAAGCTGGTGGAGGACTCTTGCGGGTCCCACCTTTTGCCGTTTGCATTGGCCATTTATCAAAAGTAGGGTTTAGGGTTTAGGGTTTAGGGTTTAGGGTTTACGGTTTCGGGTTTAGGGTTTAGGTTTTGTTAGTTTAGGGTTTTTAGTTGAGGGTTTAGGGTTTAGGGTTTAGGGTTTAGGGTTTAGGGTTAGGGGAAACGCTTGGCCAGAAGAGCCGAAGACGACCTTACATGGTATGGTCGTTCGGCACGACAACTCCTCAAATGAGAGTGTTTAAAAACCCTAAGCCCTTAACCCTTAGAGCCTTAAGGGAAGTTCTGGTCCCTTTTGTGGGGGTTCCCCGGTTGTCATACGGCCCTTGATACTTAGGGCAGCCAAGAACAGAATTGGCCACATTAACTTCAAGGCCCCCCAAGCCCAAACCAGGGTTTGGGTTCAGGGTTTAGGGTTTCGGCCGCCACAAAGAGCGCGCATCAAACCCTACTGGGGTTGTTGTACCAATTAAGTCCCCCAATCCTCCTTGTATGAATCCTGAGCCCGAAATGATAAACCAAACTCCTAAGACATCTGGGGTTTGACCTGCATCAGGCCTTGTTTTGGTACCCTCGAACAGCCAAACAGCTAAACCCAAAGAACCCAAGAAGGACCCTAAACCCCAAACCCTAAACCCTAAACCCCAAACCCTAAACTCCAAACCCTAAACCCTAAACCCTAAACCCTAAACCCTAAACCCTAAGCCCCAATCCTAAACCCTAAACCCGAACCCCTAAACCCGAAGAATGTAGAAGGACCCCAACTCATTTTGAAGCGAGTCCAGGTGCGATCTCCCAGTTGCAGTGTTTACCGGCAGTTCGGGTTTGTGGTTTAGGGTTTAAGGTTTAGGGTTCAGGGTTTGGGGTTTAGGGTTCATGGGTAGTTATGAAAAGAAGTGTTGCACGCACTGAGGACTGTTGAGTGGAGACTTCTGAGGGTTGCTTTTGTTGTGTTATAACCTTAAACCCTACACCCTAAACCCTAATCCCTAAACCCTAAATCCTGAACCCTAAACCCTAAATCCTAAACCAACGCTAAAACCCTACAACCCGGGGTTCGCGAGCCTGCTGTCTTCATGGGAGTCCTCCCCGAAGCCGATGTTCAGCGTGGCAGAGGAGCCCACGGACACCTCGGGGGTCATGCCCTCTATGGGACTTACTTAGGAGGGTCTAGGGTTTAGGGTGTAGGGTTTAGGGTTTAGGGTTTAGGGTTAACACAACAGAAGCAACCCTGTCAATATACAAGTACGGGCCCCCTTACTACACTAACCTTAGGTAAGGGAGACATAGCAAGACATATAGACTTCTAGCCTAATTTAGGACCTTTATCACCCTATTTATAACTAGGGGCCCCTACATGTAGGGTTTAGGGTTTGGCGTTCAGGGAAGATGTGTGCTTTCAGGTTCGCCAGCGAGTAAGCATATTCTAAGAAGGATACCTTTTTGTGGTGGGGGGTTACTTAGCAAGGGAACCTGGAGCGAAAAAAACAACGGCAAACGGGTACCACAGGGCTACCAGGAACTGAAGGTGGCCTGAGAGGGCCACGTCTCTTCTCTAATCTGCTTTTGAGCTCCCCCAAAAAACCTTGAGCCCTGTACCCTAAACCTTAAACCTCCCCGAAAACCTTAAGCCGCAAACCCTAGACCCTGAACCCTTGATTTTCACCCTAAAAGACCCTAGGACCTAAGCGCGAAACCCCAATCCTCCCCTCGAACCCGGAACCCGGAACCCTCCCTGTGACTCTCTTCACCTGCACTTCTCGGGGCTATGCCTACAAATTAAGGGGTAGTCACCTACTAAACTGGAGGTAGAACAAGTCCCAGATGAGCGCTAGAACCCCAGACCGAGCCAAAGGACTTGCTGGAAGGCCCTTACCCCCACAAGGCGGCGCAGGGGAGCCTAAGTGTAGGGTTTAGGGTTTGAGGGTTCCTTAACCCAAAAACCCTACACCCCTAAAACACCCCTAAACGCGAGGCCCCTAATACTCGAGCAAAACAGCTGACAGCAGGCCCCTGGAGCTCCTAAAAGCCATAAACTCAGACCCTGAACCGTGGAACTTCCCCTTAACAACCCTAAACCCGAAAAACCCTAACCCCAAACCCTACTACCCTAAACTGCCTCACCGGACATCTGAGTAACTTGGCCTGCAACAAGTCAATCTTTCAATTATGGTAGGGTTCTATGTGATCTGAAAGGTTCAAGGTTACCTACTCAGCTACTAAGTAGTTGCGCATGCCCGCGGGCGTTTGTCGGCACGAAGCAGGAGCATCAAGCAGAACCATGGCCACATCACCAAGACAAGATCACAGGCTGGAAGCAAGTCTCGGCCATCAACGCCTCCTGCAAGCCAGGTTCGTTCTACGTGCAAAGGGCCCGAACCTCTGGCGCCTCTTCTGCTGCAGCAGCCGCACAACCGTCGATGTCTTCGGTAGTCTGCCATAGCGGCAACACCACATGGCACGGCGGATCTCCACCAAGTCACTCGCAGCACCCGCCTCCAGCAACGAACGCGCAATCTCCTCACGGCCTCTTAGACAAGCACCGCAGAGAGCCGTTCCCCGAATTGTCATACCAGGTAGGTAGACGGTTTCTTTTCTTGCGTGGACGTCGGCACCTCCAGCTAGGAGCCTACGCACGACGTGAAGGTGGCCTGCGTTTGCAGCAAGAGACAGCGGTGTCTTGCAAAGCCGCACATTGCTGTTTATGTCAGCCCCGGCCTCCAGCAAAAGGTCCAAACATTCCAACTGGCCGTGTGCTGCTGCTCTGCAGAGTGCCGTAAACTCGCCAAACTCACAAAGGCCATGGTAACCTTGGTTAGCCAAGTAACCCTATGATGAGGGCGCCCTTTTTGGGGTTGGCTATTTTTATAAAGGAAACCGTAAACAAGACAAAAAAAAGGGTCAAGGCTGTACCAGGTAACACACGTGGTCTGGGTCTTGGGGGCGCTGAAGGAGGCTCTCCACTCCGACGACATCGCCGCAGGCGGCCGCGTGGGCGAGCTCGAAGGCCTGCTGCCCGGACGTCTGCACGAAAGCAACAAGCAAGAGCTCCACCTCCTCGACCTCGAGCTTGGTTTCGTCGGTCAGACTGCGACCATTGTGGAAGATGGCCTGCTGGAATCGAGGAGGGGCCCCGTGACACTCGTGCAGTGCCCGTTTCAGTGTCCGAACATCCGGCATCTTTGCCAAAGGGAAGGTCGTCAACTCCGCACCCGAGAGGCTCCAACACACGCGCAGCATGGCGCCACTTCAGGGTTTGCAGGGTCTAGGGTCTATAGGATGTTTCGGGTGCAAGGCTTTGGTGAAAGACACAGGATCGAAGCTGCTCTACGGTATCTGTGAAGCGGACACCTGCAAGCCGTAGACTTCTCTGAGGGCATCTACAGGGCAAAAGGGTGTTTAGGGTTTAGGGTTTAGGGCTTAGGGCTTAGGGTTTAGGGTTTAGGGATGTGCTTTTCTATCTGTGCTTCGCCCGCCTGTTGGTACTTTGTTGCACACTAACTCCTGCTTCGTGCTGTGGGGCACGTGGCACGCCCAGCATGCTGTCTCGAACACAGCACCCAGAAACCCTCTGCACCGTAAACCCTCAATCAACCCTGAACTTCCATAGCCAAGAACCCTAACACCCTAACAGCCTAAACCCTAGCCCCTAAACCCTAAACAACGTCACTTCACATGACACATCGGCAACTCCACCCCTTTGGTACTTCTTAGGGTGTAGGGGGCCTAAAAACCATACCAAGATACAGTTGTTTGGGCTTAAGGGTTTCGGGTTTAGGGTTTAGGGTTTAGGGCTACACCTACACTCCTGAAACCCAAAGTGGCCCCCGAACCTTCGTGTCTTTTTGGGGGGCCATCTCATACTAAAAACTTTTTTTTGGAGTGGTGGATGTGACAAACCAGGAAGCTCAAAGAGTCAGGAAGTACGGCAAGGGCTCTTGAGCTTATCAACCGCAAACCCGAAAAACCCTAGACACCCTAAGAACCCTAGAACCCAAAAACTTAAAAACCCTAAAGCCCTAAAGCCCTAAAACCCTAAAACCTACAGTAAACCCTAAACGCTGAATCCTAAAGCCTCCAAAGCCCTAAACCTGAGGGTTCTAAACCCTGAAACCTTCGAACCCTGAACGCCACAACCCTAAACCCTGAAACCCTAACACCCTAAACCCTAACTCCCAGAAACCCTAAAACCCCGGAAGGCGCAAGCCCAACATTAAATCCTAAACCCCAAACCCCTTATAAACCCTTAACCCTTAACCCAAAACCCGCAACCCCAAACCCTAAACCCCCTAAACTTAAACCCGAGCCAGCACTGGGCCCTGGGCTGGGGGCACCACGACCGGCCTGTCCATGATTCGGCGAAGCTGCTTTTCATTTGGATCTTAGGGTTTCGAGATTAGAGGTTAGGCCCAATCCTAAACCCTAAACCCTAAACCCTAAACCCTAAACCCTAAACCCTAAGCCTTGACCTAAACCCGAAACCCTAACCCCTAAGCCTTGACCTAAACCCTAAACCCTAAACCCTAAACCCTAAACCCTAAACCCTAAACCCTAAACCCTAAACCCTAAACCCGAACCACTTACATAGGTCTTGGGGCTGGGGGCTTCGGTTCTGGGCTCCCTGTTTGCCTGAACGGAAAAAGATCGGCTCGCGTGCTTCCTTAGTCGGGCGTTTCGATGGGAGCCTCAGCCTTAATCGCAAACCCTAAGCTCTAAACCCTAAACCCTAAACCCGAAACCCTAAACCCTAAACCCTAACTTTGTTTAAAACCTTAGGGCTTAATTACTCTTCAGCACGCTGCAAAGAAGGTAAGGGACCGCATTAAGGGACCACGCAGCTTGCCTTAGGCTCAGTTGGAGCCGAAGCCCTAAAGGAGAAAAGCAGGGCACCACGAGCGCATCCTGGTTTTGGAAGTTCAGGGTTCGCCTGAGACCCTAAACCCTAAACCCTAAACCCTAAACCCTAAACCCTAAACCCTAAACCCTAAACCCTGAACCCTGAACCCTGAACCCTAACCCCTAAATAGCACTCAGCCTTGGGGCTTGAGGCGTCGGCATCTCGGAGTGTCGGGTTTAGGGTTCGGGGTAAGAGGGTTTAGGGTTTAGGGTTTAGGGTTTAGGGTTTAGGGTTTAGGGTTTAGGGTTTCGGTTTCGGTACAAAGATATATAATCCCTACCTGGGGGGTCAAGGCTGCAAATATGGTGCCTACCTGTTGCGATTTGCAGCCTGAGGGCTTGGGCGTTTGGGTTTTCAGCGGTCAGCCCTAAACCGGTCGAAGCAGAAGATGTTTGAGGCTGTGTCGAGCAAAAACTGGCTTGCCGAGCAAAAACTGGCTCACACACACATCCCAGGACGCGCCAGGCCTAAGCCCTAAACTCTACACACCCCACAAACCATATAAACCCTCCAAACACTATAAACCCTACAAACCTTACAAACCAAGTCTTACAAACCCTGTAAGACCTATAAACTCTCTGAACCCGACAAAGCTTTTTAACCCAAAAACCCTTATACATCGGAACCTGCGAAGCATTGCTGGGCGCAGTGGCTGAGGCTTCCGGCGGCCTCAGACATGTGCGGGCACTCAGACGGGTTTCAGCCTTTTCCTAGTTTAGTGTGCAGGGTTTAGGGTTCAGGGGCTGCGGTTGTACTATTTCAGCTTATGAAAGAATGAGCACCCATGAAGGACGTGCCCGCTACTAAATCCAGAGGCACGTTGGTTTCATACACCGTGGGTTGTTTCACTTAGGCTCTGGCTTCATGCTGATTCAGGCTTGGCGGGTGCTCCAGCCTTTCCTGGGTTATCGCGGAGCTCCCAGTCAAACCAGGATCCCAGTCCCAGCGCAGAAGCAGAACCCTAAACCCTAAACCCTAAACCCTGAACCCTGAACCCTAAACCCTGAACCCAAAACCCGAGTTGTAGGGCATCCGAACACGACACCGGACACGTTTGCGCTAAGCTCTTGCAGGGTTTAGTGTTTATAAGGTGAGGTTTTCCAGGTTGAGAGTTTAGGTTTTAGGGTTTAGGGTTTAAGGTTAGGGTTTAGGGTTTAAGGTTTAGGGCTCAAGGATTAGGGCTTAGGGTGTAGGGTTTAGGGTTTTGGGTCAGGTGAACATTCGGGCGACTTGGGGATCCCTAGAAAATTGGAGTATGTAAGAGGCACCCCTATTCCCGTGAAGTACCACTACAGGGGTAGTTCTCTAAATTAGGGCCCCTTTTGCACCATGAAAATAGGGACCTCGATCAAAGAGGGACCCAAATTTCGACAACTACTCAAAGGGATAGGGTTCAGGGATTGGGGTTTCGGGGTGTAGGGTTTAGGGTTCAGGGTTAGGAGATAAGGGTATCGCTGAGGCCCAGTGCGGAGAGCTTTGTCTTTTGGGTGGATGGAGGAGCCTCGACACAGCGCGCTGTTGCAGGGCACTTCCGAAAAGATGAAGGCAAGCAACCCGAAACCCCAAACCCCTTATCCCACAGGCGTCTCTGGACTTAAATGTTGGGATGGTCAGTCCTTATTAGGGATTACAATTGGGGGGGGGGGGGGGTGTACTAGAATCCCTATGAAGGACTGTTAGCAGAAGGGTGATCATCCCAACTTAAATGTAATGTAGGGCCTTTGGGGCCGGGGGCGAAAGACCTAACGCCCCGAAGTATCACAAGATGGCCCGCGCAAAATGCTTCAACCTCGCTTGGATCATGAGCGAAGGCCGAGGCAGTTGGGAAGGGCCCTAAACCCTAAACCCTAAACCCTAAACCCTAAACCCCTAACCCCTAAACCCTAAACCCTAAACCCTAAACCCCAAACCGCGGGACATGAGACAGCATGAGGAAGAGCATCGTGGATGCTTGCATGTTGGATGCAGGGCACTAATAACTTTGCAGGAGCCAACCCAAAAGCCTAAACCGCAAGCCCGAAGCCCTAAATCCTAAACCCTAAACCCTAAACCCGAAACCCTACACCCTAATCCCGAAACCCTAAACCCGAAACCCAAAACCCCAAACCCCAAACCCTAAACCCTAAACCCTAAACCCCAAACCCTAAACTTACTAAAAGGACCCTAAACCCTCAGCCCTAATCCCGAAACCCTAAACCCCAAACCCCAAACCCCAAACCCTAAACTTACTAAAAGGACCCTAAACCCTCAGCCCTAATCCCGAAACCCTAAACCCCAAACCCTAAACCCTAAGCCCCAAACCCTAAACCCTAAACCCCAAACCCTAAACTTACTAAAAGGACCGGCTCAGGTTTCAGAGCTCGGCGTTGGGGCTCCCTCCTCGCCTGCACTTGTCCAGTATGAGGACTTCGCCTCCAGGGTATCCTTCCCGGGCACAGTTGAGGGCTCATGGGGTTTAGGGTTTAGGGTTTAGGGCTTGGGGTTTAGGGTTTAGGGTTTAGGGTTTAGGGCTTAGGGTTTAGGGCTAGGGCTTAGGGTGTAGGACTTATGTTTAGGGGTTAGAGCTTAGGGCTTCGGCTTTAGGGCTTAGACTGTAGCTACGGTTTTGGGCTTAGGGTTATAGGGCTACGGTTTAGGGCTTAGGGTGACAGGGCTATGGTTCATGGGGGGCTTAGGGCTATAGTGGTAAACCCTGAACCCTAAACCCTAAACCCTAAACCCTAAGGTTCAGGGGGCTGTTTGCTTGGGGCTTAGCGCTTAGGGCTTAGGATCTCGACGGATCCAAGTCACCTGATTTGGGGCACATATGGGCCCTGAAGTCGTGTTCTAGCAACTGCTCCACTTGCGCATGCATGTCCTGATTTACGCCACCGCTTAGGGTTTAGGGTTTAGGGTTTAGGGTCTAGGGTATAGGATTTAGGAAGTAGGGTTTAGGGTTTAGCTGCTGTTGCCGTGGAGGCCCTCAACCCGAAGACTCCCTCATCTCTGCGTTAGCGAGGGTTCAAACAAGGTTTAGGCTTCAACGGGACAAACCAAACTAAGTCTATGAAAGCTGCCAGGCCATGCAGGTCCCAGGGGGCTCCGGCCCCCACCCTCCCCCCGCCCCCGCCCGCAAAACATGCAAGAAAAAAAGAGGCAAACTGAGGAAAGCACTGCCCCTGCCCAGCGAGCCAGTTCTCTCAGTTATGATGGGGATACCCGGTACCCAAAACATAAATGGCCATGGCTATTGAGAAAAGACCCTCTCATATGGGGTTTTCCGGCATGCCGGGTAGGTACCTTATGAGTAACCTATAAGGGACTCCTACTATTTGGGGGTCTCTATTTGGTGTCTCCTTTTTGC